ACTCTTCATCATTCCACCATTCATTCTTTATTCCACAAACAAGTCACATGCATTTCCACCTTCCTACTTCATCATTTCACCAAATTCTCCCTCTTTAACTCATTTCATTATTCATTCACTTTGCATTCATTCAATTCCACCCCACATGCACCCTTTATTCTTCATCATTGCAACCATGGCACATTTACACCAACAAAACAACTCCCATGCCATGGCCTACTCATATTCCCATTTCCTTTCCAACATCTCACATGCATTTCCACCTTCCTACTTCATCATTTCACCACATTTTCCCTTTTATTTCCACATGCAATTCTTCATCATTGCAACCACAAACACCTTAAACAAATAGGCATATACATCTCCACTCCTCCTATAAATACCCTTGCATTCATTCATTCAAAAATCATCTCATTTCATACACAACACACCACAAACACTTCCATCTTCTCCCTAGCCGTGAGTGTCTCTCCATTTTCTGCACCATTCCCTACCATTTTCTCCACCACTCCTCATCCATTTCCATAATCCCCCAATCCATTCAACACACCAACAACATCCCTTAGTCCTTGTGCCACAATAAAGAGGAAGATAAGAGGGCCTAAACGTTCATACAATTCAAGTTTGAGTTGTTGGAATGTTTACGCGTTTCTTTGATTTCAATGTTTAAATTCAATTCTCTTTGTTTTGTAATATGAGGAATGGAAGAGAAGAGTGCCTAAACGTTCATACAATTCAAGTTTGAGTTGTTGGAATGTTTAGGTGTTTCTTTGATTTCAAAGTTATGAGGAACTAAACCCTTTTTGGCTAGGGGTGATTTCAATACCATGATTATTTATGTAATATGAATTGATGAATTCCGGTTATGAACTCTTGATTCGTGAATGCAATTGGCTTAACTATTTGATGATTAACTTATTTGTGTTTGTTGATTGAGGGTCGACACTTAATTAGCATGCATGAATATGTGGCTAAAGTTTAAGAAGGTTTCACATAATCGTTACTAACTTATACTTGAAAGTAGTGAAGGTCGCTTGTCACGATCGCGTTAAGTTTAATTCTTAGCATGAGTAACATGATGTCATAGTTGCAAATGCTTTGTCAATGCTTATGGTTTTCATTATTCTTAATGATCTTCGATTGTATCTCTATTATGATGACATGTAGGGAACTTTTGAGAATATTTTGGGTTGTCGAATGATGCCATCCAATCCAATAATATAAGGAAAATTTGAGGGTTAACTAGTGATGTCACGGTTAATTTGGGGCATTGTCGTTCATAATTCAATGAAGGAATAACTGGAAATTGATTCATATGCATAAATATCATGTGTGGAGAAAGAACCTCTAGCTAATTCACCAACCATCTTATTTCATCAATTACATTCTGTCTAGTTATTAACTTGTTTCGTTATTTCAATTTTCGTCAAACCTCAATCCCCCTTTTGCTTTAATGTTCAATATAGTTAGAAATCAATTTAGTTTGTGTTTTTAAAGCATTTTGATTCTTTTGGTTTGTCTTAGTGTTTTAACGTTTAGTTTCACATTCTTTGAGTCTAGTTTAGTGTTTTATATTGTTTTTACGTTTTTAAGTCAATTTAGAAGGTTTTAGCAAGCCCTCCTAATCCCCGGTCTAGAACGATCCCTCACTTATCCATTCTACTACAATTGTCAAACGAGGGTTTAATTTGAGTGTCAAGTAATTCTCGCATCACTCAAATCTCAATCTCCATAACTAAACCTGCCCACGAGTCGGAACCACCTAAAGTGGTATGTACGACAGGCCTGGGTGTAAAACATATAAACGCTCTAGTGCTACGATCACGTGAAGGTTGTGCGAATAATCGCGAGTCACCTACGAGTCGGAACCACCTATAGTGGTCTGTACGACAGGACTGTGCACCTAACTTGGATCCAAGCTGAGCGTATGGTGCGGGAGGTGAACAACACGTGAAGGACTGTGCCCTACTCTGGGCGAAAGCACTAACACCGGGGGTGCAGGTTATGAGCTCTCAAGCACCTCTAATCACCATTTAATGCAAAGGTTAAATAACGCTTACCTGGCACTTACCTGCGCCTCCACAGCACCAAATATAATTATGCATATGTATATGTATGCCACTACTAATGCATGCGATGGTGCATAAACGATAATAATATGGTGCATGGCATAAACAATTAACCCTTTTTAAACAATTTCTGGGAAAATAAATGTATATAGGTATATACGGAAAACCAAAAGCCCACTCACTGGTATGTGGAAGGGTCGTAGCCCCCCTGCCTCGAGTGTGCACGCTCGTCCTCGGGATACGTGTCACCTATATGCGAATTAACTATAAAAACGTTAACTTTAAAGCACATAACCTTCCGTTCAAAATAACTTCTCATACATTGCTCAAAATGGACAAATGAATATACCAACGTGCTCTACACAACCTCAGGATCACAACCATATTTTTAAAATAATTTTTAGACCTCTCACGCACCCCCACGCGCCAAAATAGGCACGGACCTACGCACGGCCACGTGCCATGCACACTGACGGTGTCAATTGACGCCGTCAGGAATATTCCGTTAAAACTCCAGAATATTCCGTTAAACTTAACCGGATACCGTTACTGCCGTTAGGAATATTCCGTTAAAATCAACGGAATATTCCTGTTTCTTTTCCGGCCTACCCTCGCCGAACTCCGGTCACCGGAAAACTGAGAAAACTTTAAACTCACTATTCTCCTTCGTTTTTCAACCAATTTTCATGATTCTTGAACCAAAATGAAGCTTAGACCTAGGAGAATCACGATAGACTACTTTTAAAGGCTAAAAACCACTCGATCATACCTGTCTTCAAACTCAAAAACCGGCCAACTTCGAACCAAGCTTTCCCGACGTCCAAATTTGTCCAACGAAGCACTCCGAGGCTCCTGGGAACCTCACAAACACAACTACAAGCTTCAAAATCCCAAAAACTAGCTAGGTTAAATTTGCATGAACAGTACTCAAAACTGAGCTTGAGAAATCGACGTGAAAACGACTGGTTTCTCACCTGGAAATGGTACAGCTGTACTCCCACGAGCTTCACGAGCTCGAATATAGCCTTAGTTTCTTCGATCTGTGATGATTTGGTTTAGTTGTGTGTGTGTCCGTACGTTGCAGGAAGAAGAAGAAGAATAGAGGACTCGGGGAAGAGAGAGAGAGAGACAGGGAAAGTGACAGAGGAAGAGGGAGAGTGAGACAGTGTGTGTGCAGGTGTGGGTGTGGTCCAACACATGCCACACACACAAAACAACCAATTACGTCAAAAAAAACGAACTAGGGGCAAAGTTGACAATTCACATGTACGTTTTAATATTTCCGGGACGGGATGTCAGTATTAGAGTTTGGGCTTTCTGATTAATTCTTCTTATTAAATTTAATAGTATGGATAATAAGGTTATCATGCAATCCTTTCAAAATATGAGAGACATTATATAAAATATTATTGATGCAATGTGTTATTATGATATTTTAATTAGTAGTTTTGTAACTATTATTTCTCAATTTTTTACATCTATAAAAGGCTCATCCTCATATTAAATTCTGACTTCGCCAGCGAAGAATAGGACACGGTGGAACTAATATGAGACCGACTCCATCTAGGATCCATAAGATAGCTTCGTAATCTTTGACGACATATATTTATAGACCTAAAAAGTTGTAATAATTTTTTGGATGAATCTAGGGTATCCCCCGCACATAGGTGAGGACTAATCTCTCGAGCCGGGTCAAATCCCATTCGGGGGGCAAGCTCTCCCAATGATGGCTGCTCCATTCACAAGGCTCGAACTCAAGACCTTACTTAAATAGAACAAGCTCCTTACCACTTGAACCACCAAGCATTGGTTTGTAATAATTTTCACTTTTGAGTTTGAGACATGTTTTCCCACATTCAAGGATAATACTTATTCATCTTCTGATTTTTTTTTTTTTTTTCAAACAATAGATTTTGTTAGATTAGTCACCGACGGGATTTGAAATTACGTCGTCATATAAGGACTCAATACTTTTCCACAAATGTAGTAAATGGCCACTTGCTATTCATTTTTTTATTTGACTCAATCAAACAACATTACGATTTTTTGTTTTTAAAGCCCAAAAAAAATATTTTTTAAAACAATAAAAACATGTGTCAAAGTGCACCAAACTTTGATCTTGGAAGCTTGGTGGGGCCATCTACAGTGCCACCAAACCGGTTAACCCAACCGAGTTAACGAGTCGGCCAGAACCAGGTAATCCAAATTGGGAGAACTGTCACTGAGACAAAGTATGTATTAACGCACACAATAGATCACAGTAAAATAACCTGTTTGGACATTGGAGATAAATTATAACACAGTCAAGAACAAGCGTGCCTTATTCCGGATAATGAAATCCTCCTCTTGTTCCATAAAGAACGCATTAAACTTGTCAATCTCATTGTTCAACAAGTAAACAAATTCAGCCTCGGTTTTCCCATACTCCAACGACTGCTGCACCAACATAGGACAAGAACTTGTCGGGCTAACCCGGCAACGTCCCAAGCATTGGCTGCTTCAATCTCTTCCCAAACTTCATTAGCTAGGCTTACAAACCTGGTGTTTGGTTACAAAGATTTCGTGGGATGGGATTTTCTTTTTCAGGAGGAGAGAATGGGGGAAGGTTTTTGTTAGGGGGAAGGAAGAGCGGTAGAATATTAGGGAGCATATGCTTGGCGTGATGAAGTAGCTGTTGGAAAAGGTATAAATTGAGTCGTCCAAGTAAAAGAAATGCTTTGGCATATTCGGTGACCGTGTTTGGTCATAGTTATAGTGTTAGTTTTACCAGGGCCGAGAAAAATCATGTTTGACATCCTCGTGAAAATTTACAAAAATATTACTCTTACCATTTATTTGTACCATCTTTTTAATAGGAGTCAAACTCCTACATTAGGCGAGAAAAATTGAGTTTTATTGGAGAGATTCCAAGACCCTAAACTAAATCTGAAATTTAGAAAAAGGAAGACATGGGCAAATCCTCGACATCCCACGTCAAAAAGTAAATAACCATTGAGTTCAATGTAACATAAAACTTTACTATGGCTTAAACTGGCGTATCTTATTCCGTCATACAAAAATATCAAACTGTATCTAATCCGTCGGCTCGTTACTTCTCGACTCTGGCTGACTCCCTACATGTGGTCTTCGGGTTGTGGCTGAACAAACGGATCTGAGGCCGGAACTTCGCATTTCTTGCCCAATGCTGCTCCAGAACCTTCCTCACCTGTGCCTGGATTCTCTATTGCCACCGCACCTGAAGTATTTATGGGACCACTTGCCTCCTTCCCATTAAACTCTGAAGTTCCATTCCCAATGTTCTTGTCTGCATTCCCGGCTGCTGGGGATTCACAGTGTGTCTGGACCGACTGCAGCAGATTCTTGATTTGCTCTATAACTGCATTTTGGCTTCCGTCTTGACACACCGCTTGTGCTCCTTGAATCAGTGAATCCAGTTGATTCCAGATTCCGCTGTTTGTTCCTTGAACTGGTGCCACAGCAGATGCTGGTTCTGGAGGTGCTGCACTCCCTTGTGCTTGGGTTTGAGAGAGCACGTAGTTCACCAACAGTTGCGCCAAGGGGGCCTGAGGATCATTGACAGCTTGCTGGACCGGGCGGGCAGCTGAAGTTGATGCAACAGTTAAGTTAGGTGGGTAAAGTGCTTGAAGACCCTCATCTCCATACAAAGCACGGTGGCCTTGAAACCGCTTGAGAGTCGCTAAATGTTTTTTACCGCTCACATGACTATCAAAAACCACCTGTGACTCACATTTGACATTGCACAATTCACATATAAAAGGAACTTGTTTTGGTTTGGGAGGCTCAACTGGTCTTCTGGATCCGTCATTAGTCCTTATATACTTACCCCCTCGACCCCCTCGCATCCTACGCTTAGAACCACGTCCTCGGCCTGCAAGTTGACCGCTGGAGTTGTTCCCAGGTTCTACAAAAGCTTCAGAAGTTGCGCCCGTATCTTTCTGATCTGTTTCATTTCTATTATCATCAGTAACTACTCCAGATATTATATTTTCTTGTAAGGGTTGTTCTTCCTCAAATCCCTTAACTCTCACAGGGTTATCAACTTCTGGTTTTAATTCAGTGTTGGGCATTTGAGCATTCTGCTGTTCAGTATTGACTTTGTTGCATTTCTGCAACTCCTCATGTACCAGCATATTTTTTTTGTGTCGCTTTCCATTTTTATGCTGCTCAAGGATTTCAGGAGTGTTGCAGTCAACCCTACAAAGTTCACACCAAGCCAAACGAGGAGGTCGCCAGAATGAAGCAGAAGACACTTGTGTTGGTAATGGTGCCTGCCCAGGAACCAATGCTGAAGGTGGCTGCATTAAAGCAGCTACACCTTCAGCAGGTACAGATGCTGAATTTGGATTGGTTGATGCAGCACCATACTGTTGAAAGTGCCTACCACCACCCTGGCCACGTCCCCTACCACGGAAAGGGGCTGCTGAGCCATCTGGTCTAGAACCATTGTAACCAAAATGGCCCTGACCACCCCCCCGGAAGGGCCTATTACCCCTCCTACCTCCACCTCTATATGGAGTATGCCCAATCTGCATAATAGCATTTAAGGACAAAACAGTCCATGTAATGGTTTTATTACTAATGCAGCACAGAAAAAGAAGATGAAACAATAACAACTATGAAATAAAATGCACAAAACAAGCACAAAGATAGATAAAAATCACAATTGAAAATTCAGAATTCTTATATATATTACATTGGAAAACATATATATGAAAGAAATGCTAAAATCAATCTGACTGAATGTTTAGGTAATTTCTTATAAGAGGTATGCCTGGGACATGAATAAGGATTCAATTCAAAAAAGCAAACCACGTTAACCAATGGCACCAAAATAGAGAATCTACGAACCAGATGCCTCAGATTCATTAAAGAATTGTGATCGTTGCATCAGTTACTAAATTAAAAAGAAGGTGAGTTATACTGAATTATAATCAGAACAGGTAAGTGTTACATACTTCTCACAAATTGGGAAAAGAGTGGAAACAAGTCTTCATCAGGCCAAATGATAACAGCAGAAGCTTCAAAAATATTACATCACGTGCACACCGGATACAAGTTATATCCATCGTAATGTATGATGTGCTAATATCCTGTAAACAGTTTATCAAAGGGAGTCCCATAACAAACGACGATAATCTAAAGTTTATACCAATTGAGGTAATGTATCTTAGATCGACTTAATATTCACCAATTACGATAAAACCATCGTGTGATAACCTGAAAGCCTAAAATCACTTGTAATTACTGAGAGATCCAATTGCAGATCCTTTTCTTAAAAGCAAAATATCAAAGACCAAAAGACCACCAAGGCTACATTAGTTTTCTGAAAAGCAACCTGAGACGCAATTTCACAGCAGAAAAAGAAAACTACCATAGTCAAGAGAGATCTTGATACAAATACACCGTCTATAGATTGCTTTGGCATGGAGAACACGCACACACCATTAATGTCTTTGAGAATCTTGATGATGAAAACATTAATGTCTTTGAGGAAATGACGTGCAATCAATTGATGAAGAAATGCATTTTTTTCAATCGGATTCTGTGACTCAAGTTCGACTCCTTTTGCTTATCTAGTTAACGCTTAAAAACTAAAGAGTACTAATTTCTCAAGATACCAACTCATATCGAAAGCAAAAAAATTCCATAAATTCACTCCCACCCACTCAACTATCCACTTACAAGAATTTCACAAAATCAAAGAAGGCATTCAAGATAGAAAACACATAACATGTACTAAAACAATGTTCACATTCTACAAATAAAATAAAATGCAAAAATATGTCCAAATTCCAAGTAGATTATAAGCATCAAATTCATAAGATTGATCCAGATAAACAGAAAAGACATCACATTTATGATAAGAACATGAATTCCCAATGCCTAAAATAAATTAAAAATGTTAAATTGAACCAAAACCACGAAAGCGAACTACTTACAGGCCGTTGTGCAGCCCGCTGCGCCGCCTCGATGTTCCCAGTTAGAGAAAGCGCTGCCACGGCCGCCGGATTCAACCCACCATAGCCCGAACCAGAACCCGAATCCACCTGCTGCTTCTGATCCTCCGCAACCCCATGTGGGTAATACGCACTCCGCAAATGGGTGGGGTCAGGATCTGCCGTTTGTGACTGTTCGGCTGGAATTGGGACCCCCGGAGGATGAATAGAAGTGGGTTCGTGATGGTATTGATGGTGGTGGGCGGTGGCGTAATCTTGGGACGTGGTGGTGGTGGGGGTGGGATTGTAGTATTGTTGGTATTGTTGTTGGTGGTCGTATTGTTGGGGGTGGTTGTAGGGATAATAGGATTGGTAGGATTGGTCGTAACATTGGATTCTTGAGGGGTCGTAGGGTTGCTGCTGCTGCTGGCGGTATTGGGATTGATCGTCTTGGTGGGTCTGTGGGTAGGAGTAATCCATGGCGATGGTGTTTCTGTATTTCCTTCTGCTGAGACAGATCTTTGTGCTCCTACATATGAGATGACACCTTTGTTTTCTCTTGGGGACGGGATTTGTGTCTTTATTTTTGGGAAGCCTTATTTTACTTCTTTTTCTTTTCCTTTTTTCTATTTTATGACGTTGTTCATCCAATCCTAGTTCAACTTTATATCTATTAGATTGACAAGTAAATAAAATAATACTTTTTAAATTCAATTTTTTTAAGTAAAAGTTTTTCAATTCAATCTTGACTATTAATTTTTGTACTGCTAAGTAGTCCAGATTATTGAAGAAAAATTACAATGAGTACAACCAAATTTGAACTTATATGATTTCACTTATAAGTAAAGAAAAATAATAATATTAAGAAAGGAATTCAAGCCATCAACATAATGGAATCTCCTAAGCAAATACCGAATTCTCTGTCTATGATAGTCGAATATGAGACCTCACAACTATAGGTTAAGAGAAATATTGAAATATCAATATTTTTAAGTACTAATGGATTTTTTTGTCGATCAATTACATTTCACACTAGTTAGGTTTCGAGTGACAAAATGGGCCATGATGTATTGAATTCTTATATTGCACCAAGAAATTTTGAAATTGTGTTAATTTATGTCTTCCAATTTAACTATTTACTTTTTGTCCAATTGAGGACCTCAGAATCGTAGGACTTATTTTTTAGTTGATGTGGAAGGCACACTTTCACCACGTGTACCAAAATTAGTTATCATGGAGATTGACTTCCCTCAGTGATTAATTTGTAATCCAAAATAACAACTAATGACAAAGTTTGGTCCTAATTGTGGGAAAGGGATCCTCTCCGGATCCTTTCCACCAAATTCACCAATCCAGGCCTTTGAAATTTGATCCAACGACTAAAAACAAGGGCCTCCTTTAAAAGTTGTAATAACTTTAGCCGTTGGATCAAATTTCAAGGATCCGGATGGTGGATTTGTGGGAAGGGATCCGGAGAGGATCCCTTTCCCTCTCTGAATCCCTTTCCCTAATCGTATTAGTGTGGCTTCTATTCAACCTAGGAAATGTCTCACATTTGCCAAATCAGCAATGTAACAAAGTATAATACAACGATAGATGGAAGCCATGAATGATATGATATTAAAATCTCGTGGTACAATGTGAAAAAATTAAAACTCCAATACCTATTTTAAAATTACCTAAAATGGATGGAAGCATATTTTGCCACTTAGTACTACAGTCTAGTGGTATATCTCCACTTGTGAGTGTGAGCTCTTAGGTTTTAATCTCATAGATGACGAATTTTATACTAATTTATTAAGTTCGATCCATAATATAGCTAAATCATAATCTCTCTCTTAGTGCAAATATTATCGTTGTATTAAACAAATAGAACATATTTATTAGTCATTCCCTTTTTTTCCACAGGCGGAGCCACCCACAAGGCTAAGGTGGGCTGTAGCCTAGGGAGGTTTTTTGTAAGTGTAATGTTATCCACAAACCCATTTTTATTTCTCACACATCTCTCTTCATTTTCGACCTTTGGATCGAATAAATTTAAGAAGATCAATGGCAAAAATTAATAAGGGTGTGTATGAGGTAAATATGGGTATGAATAGGCTATTCAGAATAACACTATGCTTTCTTAAACTCATACTTTAATGGCTTATGTTAATACATGTAGCCTATATAGCCTACTCAATTTCAATATAGGTTATTATTTCATATATCCTAGTCGTTAAAGAAAAAGACTATTTACTCCATGCGATTTAGGCTCTATGCTTCTTACCCAAGAAAGAAAAAGAATGTTTTAGTCCACAATTAAATCCCTATCTCTTCCTTACTGTCCATTGCGATTTTTCAATGAATGTAACCTTTGGTTACATTCTTAATCTCTTTATTTACTTTTTTTATTATTTATGTAGTAGGTAATATTATTTATACGGTCCTTGAATTTGTCAGTTAGGGTTATGATTTTGAGAACAGTTTATATTCTATTATTATTCTTTTATATTGATTATTATATAGTTTTTATAAGCAAAAGAAAAAATAAACATATGATTTTATGGTATTAATTTCAGCTAGCCCACCCAAGAAAAAATTCCTGGCTCTGCTCTTGTTTTTTTCCTTAAAATATTGATTTTGACAACATGCTCAACAAACACAACTAGCAAACTCTCCAAGAAATATTTCAATGTTTAAAATTATAAAATCAGATATGAGATTTATAGCTCAGTTAGTTAAAAATATTTATTTTTGCACCTAAAATCTAATGTTCGTGTCCTCCCTCTCCTGTTATCAATCACTTGAAAATAAATTATCGTCATAAAAAAAGGGTTTTAAAATCATGAACAAGATTTAGCTATTTTTCAAAATTTCCCTTTCTATATTGTGTGATAGAAATCCTTCGTTCTGAAAAAATATATATATTTACCTAAATGTTTAAAACACGGCTTGGCTTTTTATAATCTTTCTTAATTACATCTTGATGTGTGTAAGGTGGTAAATCAACCTATTGGGTTGTTAATGGGTGCCTGTTAAGACTTGTTTAATTTGATATCATCATAATATAGAGGTGATATTGATAGTAGTGATGATGGTGTAAAGTGAAATCAAACTAAATGAGTTTTAATAGATACTCATTAGCAACCCAATGAGTTGATTTGTCATCTTTATGTGTAAGTGGTATAATTGTAACAATCATATCTCTTTACACAATAATGTGCCATCAGCCATCCAAAAGAATCAAACAAATTGACGTTTAATCATGAGGATATTAATCCAATTAAACCTAGTTTTATATTCTAACTACCCTATCACGACGAGGACTATTAATCCAATTAAGCCTAATTTTGCCCTAATTAGATAGTCCCCGTGATGATAGGATAGTTGGACCTGTGGTGAAGTTTGCCAAGACTTATTGTGACATCCCGTCCCGGGATTATTAACACGTACGTGTGGAATTACAATTTTGCCCCTAGTGTATTTTCGTCACTTAGTGGGGTGTTTTGTGTGTTGTGGCATGTGTTGGGCCACACACACACCTGCACTCTCTGCCCTTCCCTTTCCCTCTGTCTCTCTCCCTCCCGTGTCTCTCTCTTTCCCCTTCTTCTTCACCATATATGTACGGACCAAACCCAAAACCATCCAAAACCTTGCAGATCGAGGGAACCAAGTACACCATCGTGATGGTGAGGCCGAGAGGAGTCTAGTGGTGCCATTTTCAGGTGAGAAACCAGTCGTTTTCACGTCGATCTCGTAAGCTCCGTTTTGAGCACTGTTCATGCAAACCTAATCTAGTATGTTTTTGGACATTCTAAGCTTGTAGATGTGTTAGTGAGGCCTCAAGGAGCTTGGGAATGCTTCGTTGGGTGAATTTGGACGTCGGGAAAGCTTAGTTCAAAGTTGGCCGAACTTGGATCATTGTTGCAGGTGAGATTCTTTGATTTTTAGGCCTTAAAAGTAGTCTAACGTGATTCTACTAGTCCTAAGCTTCATTTTGGTATAAAGAACGTGAAAAATGGTTGAAAAACGAGTGAGAAAACAAAGTTTGAAAATTTTCCAGTTTTCCGGCGACGGCGCCGGCGGCGGCGCAGACGGCGGCGGCTCGCCGGAGAAGACAGGGGAATATTCCGTTAAGGCTAACGGAATATTCCTAACAGAAGCTAACGGCGTCAGTTAAGGTTAACGGAATATTCCAGGGAATATTCCTGACGGCGTCACCTGACGCCGTCAGTGTGCAGGTCACGTGGCCGCGCGTGGGGGCGCGTGGACCCGTGCCTGTGCTGGCGCGTGGGGGCGCGTGCGTGGTCCAAAAATTATTTTAAAAATATGTGTGTGATCGTGAGGTTGTGTAGATCAATTTGGTATATTCATTTGTCCATTTTGAGCAATGTATGAGAAGTTATTTTGAATGGACGGTTATGTGCTCTAAAGTTAACGTTTTTATAGTTAATTCGCATATAGGTGACACGTATCCCGAGGACGAGCGTGCACATTCGAGGCAGGGGGGCTACGACCCTTCTACATACCAGTGAGTGGGCTTTTGTTTTCCGTATATACCTATATACATTTATATTCCCAGAAATTGATTTAAAAAGGGTTATTTGCCTTATGCCATGTGCTTTATTATTTATCGTTTATGCATCGTTGCATGCATCATTTGTGGCATACATATACATATGCATACGTCATATATATCTATGTGTGGGTGCTGTGGAGGCATAGGTAAGTGCCAGGTAAGCGTTAATTAACGATTGCATTAAATAGTGGTTAGAGATGATTAGAGAGCTCATAACCTGCACCCCCGGTGTTAGTGCTTCCGCCCAGAGTAGGGCACAGTCCTTCACGTGTTGTTCACCTCCCGCACCATACGCTCAGCTTGGATCCAAGTTAGGTGCATAGGCCTGTCGTACAGACCACAGTAGGTGGTTCCGACTCGTAGGTGACCCGCGATTACTCGCACAGCCTTCACGTGATCGTAGCACTAGAGCGTATATACATGTTACACCCAGGCCTGTCGTACAGACCCCTTGAGGTGGTTCCGACTCGTGGGCAGGTTTAGTTATTGAGATTGACATTTGAGCTCTATTTACAGCCGTACAGGTCACGTTAGGTGACTCCGGTTGTCAGAGGATTGTGTGATTGATACGACTCACCCCTGAGCACTTGCATATCATTAAGAGATTTTGTCATAGCATATATTGAGCATGATTGGCATACCCTTGAACATGTTTAAGCATATCTATACATACGTACATATGTTATTTTCTGGGACGTATACAGGTTTTACGGCGAGGGGTTAGATTGTGTTTTATTTAATGGTTTTCAAAGAGCTTTGTTTTTGCCCACTCACGCTTTTGTTTTGCGCCCCTCCAGGTTCTAGTTGCTTAGCCGTTGCGGTGGTTTCCCTTGCGAGCTTTTCGGCGTTCTGACAGACACTCTACATTGTAGGTTCGCCTTCGGGCGTACTACGGTTGTTATTTTCTTTGGACTGCTATAGACCTGCTCTGAATTTGTATCACACTAACTAGCACTTATCCTATGTACTAGAATGCTAGTT